TGGGGGGCACACAAAGATGGTGGGGGACACACAAAGATGGTGGGGGACACACAAAGATGGTGGGGGGGACACAAAGATGGTGGGGGGACACACAAAGATGGTGGGGGCACACAAAGATGGTGGGGGACACACAAAGATGGAGGGGGACACACAAAGATGGGGGGACACACAAAGATGGTGGGGGCACCAAAGATGGTGGGGGCACACAAAGATGGTGGGGGGCACACAAAGATGGTGGGGGGCACACAAAGATGGTGGGGGCACACAAAGATGGTGGGGGCACACAAAGATGGTGGGGGGCACACAAAGATGGTGGGGGGGCACACAAAGATGGTGGGGGGCACACAAAGATGGTGGGGGCACACAAAGATGGTGGGGGCACAAAGATGGTGGAGGCACACAGATGGTGGGGGGCACACAAAGATGGTGGGGGGCACACAAAGATGGTGGGGGCACACAAAGATGGTGGGGGGCACACAAAGATGGTGGGGGGCACACAAGATGGTGGGGGCACACAAGATGGTGGGGGGCACACCAAAGATGGTGGGGGCCACAAAGATGGTGGGGGGCACACAAAGATGGTGGGGGCACACAAAGATGGTGGGGGCACACAAAGATGGTGGGGGGCACACAAAGATGGTGGGGGCACACAAAGATGGTGGGGGCACACAAAGATGGGGGGGCACACAAAGATGGTGGGGGCCACAAAGATGGTGGGGCACACAAAGATGGTGGGGGCACACAAAGATGGTGGGGGGCACACAAGATGGTGGGGGGCACAAAAAGATGGTGGGGGCACACAAAGATGGTGGGGGCACACAAAGATGGTGGGGGCAACAAAGATGGTGGGGGCAAACAAAGATGGTGGGGGCAAACAAAGATGGTGGGGGCAAACAAAGATGGTGGGGGCACACAAAGATGGTGGGGGGCACACAAAGATGGTGGGGGGCACACAAAGATGGTGGGGGCAAACAAGATGGTGGGGCACACAAAGATGGTGGGGGCACACAAAGATGGTGGGGGCACACAAAGATGGTGGGGGCACACAAAGATGGTGGGGGCACACAAAGATGGTGGGGGGCACACAAAAATGGTGGGGGGCACACAAAGATGGTGGGGGGCACACAAAGATGGTGGGGGCACACAAAGATGGTGGGGGCACACAAAGATGGTGGGGGCACACAAAGATGGTGGGGGGCACACAAAGATGGTGGGGGCACACAAAGATGGTGGGGGGCACACAAAGATGGTGGGGGCACACAAAGATGGTGGGGGCAAACAAAGATGGTGGGGGCACACAAAGATGGGGGGGCACACAAAGATGGTGGGGGCACATAAAGATGGTGGGGGGCACACAAAGATGGTGGGGGGCACACAAAGATGGTGGGGGGCACACAAAGATGGTGGGCGGCACACAAAGATGGTGGGGGGCACACAGATGGTGGGGGACACACAAAGATGGTGGGGGGCACACAAGATGGTGGGGGGCACACAAAGATGGTGGGGGGACACACAAAGATGGTGGGGGGACACACAAAGATGGTGGGGGGACACACAAAGATGGTGGGGGGACACACACAGATTGTGGGGGGACACAAAAGATGGGGGACACACAAAGATGGTGGGGGGACACAAATATGGAGGGGGACACACAAGATGGTGGGGGACACACAAAGATGGTGGGGGACACACAAAGATGGTGGGGGGGACACATAGGTGGGGGACACACAAAGATGGTGGGGGACACAAAGATGGTGGGGACACACAAAGATGGTGTGGGACACACAAAGATGGTGGGGGGACACACAAAGATGGTGGAGGACACACAAAGATGGTGGGGGGGACACACAAAGATGGTGGGGGGGACACAAAGATGGTGGAGGACACACAAAGATGGTGGGGGACACACAAAGATGGAGGACACACAAAGATGGTGGGGGGACACAAATATGGGGGGGACACACAAAGATGGTGGGGGACACACAAAGATGGTGGGGGACACACAAAGGTGGGGGACACACAAAGATGGTGGGGACACAAAGATGGTGGGGACACACAAAGATGGTGGGGGACACACAAAGATGGTGGGGGGGACACAAAGATGGTGGGGGACACACCAAAGATGGTGGGGGACACACAAAGATGGGGGACACACAAAGATGGTGGGGGGGACACAAATATGGAGGGGGACACACAAAGATGGTGGGGACACACAAAGATGGTGGGGGACACACAAAGATGGTGGGGGGACACACAAAGATGGTGGGGGGACACACAAAGATGGTGGGGGACACAAAGATGGTGGGGGACACACAAAGATGGTGGGGGACACACAAAGATGGTGGGGGACACACAAAGATGGTGGGGGACACACAAAGATGGTGGGGGACACACAAAGATGGTGGGGGGGACACACAAGAGTGGTGGGGGGACACACAAAGATGGTGGGGGGGACACACAAAGATGGTGGGGGGACACACAAAGATGGTGGGGGCACACAAAGATGAGGGGGAACACACACAGATTGTGGGGGGGACACAAAGATGGGGGACACACAAAGATGGTGGGGGGACACAAATATGGAGGGGGACACACAAAGATGGTGGGGGACACACAAAGATGGTGGGGACACACAAAGATGGTGGGGGGACACACAAAGATGGTGGGGGACACACAAAGATGGTGGGGGACACACAAAGATGGTGGGGGACACAAAGATGGTGGGGACACACAAAGATGGTGGGGACACACAAAGATGGTGGGGACACACAAAGATGGTGGACACACAAAGATGGTGGGGGGACACACAAAGATGGTGGGGGGGGACACAAAGATGGTGGAGGACACACAAAGATGGTGGGGGACACACAAAGATGGTGGGGGGACACACAAAGATGAGGGGAACACACACAGATTGTGGGGGGACACAAGATGGGGGACACACAAAGATGGTGGGGGGACACAAATATGGAGGGGGACACACAAAGATGGTGGGGGACACACAAAGATGGTGGGGACACACAAAGATGGGGGACACACAAAGATGGTGGGGGACACACAAAGATGGTGGGGGACACACAAAGATGGTGGGGGACACAAAGATGGTGGGGGACACACAAAGATGGTGTGGGACACACAAAGATGGTGGGGGACAACACAAAGATGGTGGACACACAAAGATGGTGGGGGGACACACAAAGATGGTGGGGGGGACACAAAGATGGTGGAGGACCACACAAAGATGGTGGGGGACACACAAAGATGGAGGACACACAAAGATGGTGGGGGACACAAATAAGGAGGGGGACACACAAAGATGGTGGGGGACACACAAAGATGGTGGGGGACACACAAAGGTGGGGGACACACAAAGATGGTGGGGGACACAAAGATGGTGGGGGACACACAAAGATGGTGGGGGACACACAAAGATGGT